GCTCCCTGGCGGAGATGCGCGATGCCCTGCAGAGCGCCCCCTTCGACGAGGTCTTCGCCTTGCTGAAGAAGCCGCTGGCCCTCCGCGAGGCCCTCCAGAACGCCCCCGAGCCGGAGGAGCAGGGCGAGCTGCTCGGCGTGCTGGAGGGCCTGGAGGAGGCCTTCTGCCGGGCGCGGCCGGGGGCCTGGCAGGAGAAGCTGCAGGGCCTGCGGAGGACCCGCTGGGAGGAGGCGGCTGCCCTGCTGGAGAAAGTCTGGTCCCTGAAGACCGAGGTCTATCTCCTGATCTCTGACCTCGACCGGGAGGAGAAAGTGGTGGTGCTGATGGACGAGCTGAGGGGCCTGCAGGAGGCCGTCCGCGGGGCCCCCCTGGCCGACCGGGAGGCCCTGTGGGAGAAGCTGGAGGCCCTGCAGGCGGCCCTGAGGGAGATCCCGGTGACGGAGGTGCTGCTGCTGCGCAGCAAGGCCAAGGCGCTGCGCAAGAAGGCCACGGACTTCTGGACTGACCCCCTGGATGAGGCCGATGGGCTGCTGGAGGAGGTGGACGCCCTGCGGGAGGTCCTCACCGGCTCCCCCTTGAAGGAGGCCCTGTGGGGGAAGGTGGAGGACCTGCGGGGCAGCCTGCGGGAGATCGCCAAGAAGAAGATCAGCGTTCTCTCCTACTACCTGTGGAACGTCCTGTGGAGCCCCTTGTGGAAGAAGGTGGGCGACATGCAGCGCGCCTTGTGGAAGACCCCTCGCAAGGAGGAGGGGGTTGTGCAGGAGAAACTTGGGGACCTGGAGCACGCCCTGGACGAAATCCTGGAGGATAACCTCAGTGGCCTCCCCAGGATTCTGTATGCCCTGCCGGGGATAGTGACCGCCCTGCAGAAGAAGGTGCACGCTGTGCGAGAGAGCCTGCAAGAGACGCCCCCTGAGATGGCCGTGGCGCTGCAGGGGAAGGTGGTGGCCATGCAGGAAGCCCTGTGGAAGATTCCTTTCAAGGAGGCGCATCTCATGCAGGAGGACCTGAAGGCCTACTGTCTCACCTTGCAGAAGAAAGTGGAGGCCTGGTGGGCTCGCCCCCTGGAGGGCCCCTCCTCAAAGCGCAGGGCCGCCTTGCCGGAGGAGGCCAGAGGGACCCCCGGAGCGGAGAGGAGTGAATCTTGTGTGACCAGGGATGGCCCGGATGCAGGTATGGCTGGCTTTGGGTGGGTCCCAGATGTAGTTTTGGGATCTGTGGGGCAGTCTTCTGAAAGAGTGCTCATAGCAGGAGCGCCACTGCATGGCCAGTCAAAGCCTCTTGAGTGGCCCCCTTCTGTTTGACCTCAGTGGGGGAGAAGAAAGACCATCGGGGGAGGGGGCAGGCAAAGAAAGCCTGCTGGGGAAAGAGCCATCCAGAGCGTCCATCTTGCTAAGAATTGTCCTAAGAGATGTCCTTGGCAGTGAGATAATTCTGTCTCCCCCCACCATTTCCTGGAGGGGAGGTCTTTTCTCCATGCAAGTGAATGGCAATGCCACACATTTCCCTTGGGAAAGAAAGGTTCCAGGCCAGACAGGTTGGCATTGCTTGGCGAGAGCTGGGGCTTCCACAGGCACCATGTTGGCGACCTTCAACCAAGTTGGTGCCTTGCATTGCAGAGAGCCAGCCCTCTCCCTGTCCCTGTGGCAGGCAGGTCTTTTGGGGACCTCTTTTCCCTCACTTCTCTCTGTAGGACTGGGCTTTAAAGGTCAGGATCACACTCCTGATTCCCCCTGTTCGTTCTGTTCAGGCCCCTGGTACAGTCTCCTCCCCTTTGGGGTCTCCTGCGGGTGTTTCCTGCCTGGACCCCCCATTGCTTTAATAAGCTCCCTAGACTGGCTGCATGTCTTATTAGAAAATTGGGCCTTGCAGGTAGGCTGCCCTTGTCCGTGGCATCTTTCGGCCTTCTGTTCACGTCTCCTTGCCTTCGGTAGCTCCTTTGGCTTGCCGCCCCTCTCCCGTTTGGTTGCTCTACGTTCAGCTGCTGGGTGTGAGCTCGTGCCTGTCGAATTAACAGACCTCTGTTGAGCAGATTCCGCATTTAACGGATTGCGGTTCAGAGGTAGTGGGGAGGGAGAGAGGGGCAGGCTGGGCTGGGGAGGGCTGGGCTGGGAAGACTGGGGGTGTCCAGACCAGTGGAAGCAGCTGAGGGATGGAGGGGAGATAACCCACTTGTTGTCATTGGGATTCTTAGGGCAGATTCTTGCTTTAACTGGCATTTGACTTTAATAGACTGGTCTTCCGCTCAGTAGCCCATAAAGGGAAGTTGCAGGGAGAATGCTCAAGAACTCCTCGTGGCCACGGAAACCAGCACAGGAAGTATTGGTAGTCCTCAGTTAATGACCATTTGTTCAGTGACCGTTTGAAGTTAACGACGGTACTGTGCGAGGAGACTTATGATCGGTCCTTGAAGTTGTGGCTATTGCGGTGTGCCCGCCATCACGTGATCACAATTTGGGCTCTTTGCAACTGGCTAGCAATTATGACAGTTGCAGTGTCCTGCGGTCAAGCGATCGCATTTGTGACCTTCACTGCCGGCTTCCGACAAACAAAGTCAATGGGGAAGCCGGCAGGAGGTTGCAAATGATGATCATGTGACATCACACTTAATGGCCGCAACTGGAACTGCCGGAACTTAAGTTGGTGCGTTCATGTGAGGTCATGCTTTACGATTGCATTGCTTAGCGACGAGTTCCCAGTCCCAATCACTGTTGATAACCGAGGACTATCTGTAACAGGTATAAGTTGTGGCTATCTAGAGTGTGCATAGACGTAAAGAAGAACGTCCTGGCAGTAAGGCCTGCGCATCAGTGGAACAGTCTCCCTAGGGAGGATGTGGGTTCTCCCTCTCTGGAAACGTTTAGGAGGAGACTGGACAACCACTTGGTTTTGCTGTGCACGGGAGTGATTTGGGCAGGTGATCCTTGGGGTCCCTTCCATCTCCACAGTTCTAGGATTCTGTAAAATCAAGAGTTTACTCTACATTAATCGCTTTGTATTCCTTAATGTGTGCATGTTTGCGTGAGTGTGCAAAGAAGATAATGTTTAAAGCCACCAAAGTACTTCTGAATTCCTTTGGAGCTATTTCTGGGCACAGCTCCTGAACCAGTCTGATGAACTGGCCAACCGCTTTTAGAGAGGGTTGATTGTGTCCTTCGGGAACTTGGTGCCAGAGCTGTAGCAGAATCTGTGGAGGCTTCTGAGCGGTTGGTGTTTTCTGAGAGCAACGTATTGTCTGGGCTGAGGACGGGAAGAAGGTGCTTCTATTTGGCCTGCTACGTATAGTCTCAGTCTTTTCCTATCTACCTTTGCTATTAAGATCTAGGAGAGAAAGACTGAAAAGGCAGGTCTGGGGGTTGGTAACATGCCTCGGAGTCAGATAAAGTGTTGGGCCAACATCTGGATGCTGTCATGGCCGGACAAGTTACTTAAGCTGAATCTGGATCCATTGCGGATCAGTGGCTCCTGGATCTTGGAGTCCATGCTGGATGGGCTCGCACTCCCCCATACAAGGTGTCCTGCTAGATTAACCTCTTGTCACTTGAGGCCTATATGGCATCAGCGGCCCAGAGGACATCTGATGACGGAGACCAGTTCTGAAGAAAAGTGGTCTGGCCATTTTAGTGCATGGTATGATAACCTCCTGTTTGGATTACCACAACATGTTCTCCACCTTGAATGACCACTTGTTTAGCGATTGCTTGAAGTTACAACAGTGCTGAATGAGGGGGACTTGTAACAGGTGTTTATAGTTGCAGCCGTTGCAGCATCCCTGCAGTCCCATGATTGTGATTCGGGCACTTGGCAACCTAGTTGTCATAACCCACAGTTATGACATTGCAGCGTCCTGCAGTCATGTCGTCACCATTTGCGACCTTCACTGCCACTCCCGACAAGCAAAATCAATTGGGAAGTCTGCAGGAGATTGCAAATAGTGATCACATGACTGCGAGATGCTGTGACCGCACAGGATTTGCCTAATGACAGCAACTGGGACTGCCACAAGTGCTGTCGTAAGTTGGTGCGGTCATGTGACTTTGCACTTCATGAACGTGCCACTTAGTGACGGAGTTGCTGGTCCCAATTACCATTGTTAAGCGAGGGCTACTTGTACAGTGGTACCTCGGGTCACGAACGCTTCTGTTCACGATCAATTTGGGTCATGAACAGCACCATTCGCAAAATTTTGCTTCCGTCCGCGAACTCCGCATAGGGTGACAAACAGGATCCGCGGCCATTTTCCCTGCTGTGACACGTGGTCGTGGCTTCCTGTAGGGAGGGGGACTCTCCCTCCAAGCAATA